ACACACAGACTTGGAACCACAGCAGAATGCGGGAATCACAACAAGGCATCCATTCTAGTGACAAGTCCCAGAAATCGGCAGTGTTCTCAGTCTGTATTTATGGCGGGTCATTACATTACTCCCCTCTCGAGAGCGAGGTCCCTTCGAATGAGTAACTCAGTCAGAGTCGGTTCAAAAGGCGTCGTAGGCATAGATCAAAAGGAGAGTGTTAGTGAGACCGAACGGAGTGAGTTTTGCAGCAAACTTGGCGGTCTGTCCATCAATCTGTTGTTCATATGTGTTCACAACACGTGGCACACTCTTCAGCATCTCTTTCCGGTTGATCCAGAAAAATGCATTCAACGGGTGATAGAGAAAGTGAACTTTATATTGTCTGTTCCTCCCTCTCCCTTCGTGAGAAACGATTCTGTCGATCTCATGACCACCATCGATAGGGCGAGGTATCATAGGGTCTCAGAAGGGAAAAGTCTCATCATCAATGTGCGGAAACAGTTTGGAGGCATGGAAGACTGGGTACGTGCGCAGATGAGGCAGCACGTCAATCATATACGAAGGACCGAAATCATCCCCAATCACTTGCAGAATCTGCCAGGGGCCGTAGTATAGTGGAAGAAGCTTCCGTGAAACGCCCTCTTCATCAGAAAATTCAGACATTTTGACCCAGACATAATCTCCTACTTTGAATTTCTCTTCTCTGCGCATCTTATTAGCATGTTTGATCATGGCATGTTGGCGCTTGTTCATGGCTGCGGTCACAGCTTTGAGCAAGCGTGCGTACTTGGCATTGTAGCCAGGTATGCCGGGCATCAGACCAGGTGACCGTTCTGGAAACAGGTAGGAGAGGGGATTCCGCATTGGCCATCCATATTGCAACTGGTTTGGTGTCACACCGGTTGCAGAATGGATGGAGTTGTTGTACAGCCCCTTTACTTTATGCAAGTCCTTATCCCATGTGTTCTGATCTGGCACAATCAATGCGCGCAGCAGCTGGGTGACGGTCTGGTTGATTTCCTCAGCCAATCCATTGGCTTCGGGGTGTCGACCAGAAGTCATGTTCAGTTWGATGTCATAGATCTGGGCAGTGAAGTCCTTCCAATCCTTGCTGATGAATCTGGTGTCCCGATCACTCACAAGAGTTTTCGGGGGGCCATACTGCAGAATGTACTGCTGGTGAAACTCTTCGATCACCAGTTCAGTCGGCGCATGAGGAGGTAGGGGAATCAGATTCAGAAATTTAGAGAAGCGATCCACAATGACCATGACTTGTGAATTCCCTGCCGTACTCACCTTCCCCATGTCCGTGAAATCGATAGAGACCGATTCCCCGGGCCCATCAGGGATTGGGAGAGGTCTCAGCAGGCCATAAGGCTTATGCCTGTGGACCTTGGTTCTCTGACAGACTTGACACTCAACAATAAATTTCTGAGCAGATCCCTTCATTCCCGGCCAATCAAACTGCTGGAGAAGACTTCCATAAGTCTTTTCAAAGCCGAAATGCCCACTCCGACCATGTGCCAAATCCAGGAAATGAGTCCGGAGAGGCGCATGGTTAGGAACACACAAGCGATCAAATTTCCCGTACTGGCGGAATACAAGACCATCGCATTCATGAAAATCAGGCTGGCTGTCGGGATCCTTGGCGGTGTGTCCGATCCTTAGCGGTGTGTCCGATCAAATCCTCCTCCAGTTTCCTGCAGAGGTCGTACGAATCCACCAGGCAAGTCAAATACTCAGGATGGCGCGATAGAGCATCAACAACACGATTATAGCAGCCTTTCTTATGCTTCAATTCAAAGTCGAAGACATCAATATCATGCAACCAGTGGGTCAGCGTTGGAGAAAGATCGGTTTGTGTCTTAATCCACTGCAAGATCAGATGATCTGAGTAGACCTTGAAGTGGCAACCCAAGAGATAGTGCTTCCAATGCGTGAGCGCCTCGCGCAAGGCGTAGAGCTCCCGCATGTATGTGGAAGTGGCTATCTTGTGGCTGGGCATGCGTTTGCTGTAATATTCAAGCGGACGCAGACCATCGCCATCATCTTGTTGCAGCACTGCACCAATCCCAAACTGGCTCGCGTCTGCAGTGACTACGAACGTGAGGTTGGGATCTGCAACGCGGAGCACAGGATGACTCACGAAAGCCTCTTTTAAGGCTTGGAACGCAGTCTCACACTTTTCACACCACGCGTAGGCAACATTTTTACTAGTCAGGCGTAAGAATGAATGAGCAATGACAGAGAATTTAGGCACAAACTTCCGGTAGTAAGAAGCCAAACCGAGAAAAGAACGCAGCTCGCGTACATTTGCCGGTTGAGGCCAGTTACGGATGACCTCAACCTTGGTTGCCTCCGGCTCAAGGCCGCTCAGAGACAACCGGTGCCCAAGATAGATGACGCTGTCCCTGCCAAACGCAAATTTCTCCAAGTTGAGGTGCAGTTGAGCATCTTTGAGGACTTGCAAGACCTCCTCRAGATGCTTGACGTGCTCCTCCATGGACTTGCTGAAAATCAGAATGTCATCAAGATACACAACCACAAACCTGATAAGTTGGTGGCAGAGTACCTTGTCCATAAGGGACTGAAATGTGGCTGGTGCGTTCGTAAGGCCGAAGGGCATAACGATAAATTCGTACAGCCCATCGCGWGTTTTGAACGCAGTTTTGTGCTGGTCACTCGGATCGACTTCAATCTGGTGGTAGCCAGACTTGAGGGCAATCTTGGAGAAGACCTTGCAACCACCGGCCGCATCCAACAGATCATCTATGCGAGGCAAGGGGTACGCATTCTTTCTAGTGATCGGGTTCAAGCCACGATAGTCAATGCACATTCGGAGCTTGCCTCCTTTCTTCAGTACAAACAGGACAGGGGCACCAAACTCAGACTCACTAGGCCTAATCCATCCACGGTCAATCATGTCATCGATCTGTCTCCGCATCTCCTCCAACTCGCCTTGTCCCATACGATAGACGCAGCCCTTTGGAGGAACACTCCCTTCTATTACCTCGATTTTGTGCTTGACTTGACGCTCGGGAACTTCGCGCGGTTCAACCAACACTTCCGAGAATCGATCTAATAGGAGGCGAATGTTTGTTGGGATTTCGGGTGGAGGATCATCCTCATCAGGCGAGAGAAAATCAGATTAGGAATTTACAGCAATCACAACCGGTTTTGAGGCATTCGGATCAGAATTACATTGATTATTTACAGCAGAAGTAGGTGGAACAGATGTAGAAGTAGTAGGGTTACCTTCAGAAGAAGAAAATGCAGCAAAAGTAGAAGGCACATGGAAAGGCTTTACAAGAGCTATATGTACAAACTCAGCCTCCTTGCGCCTCCGCACCGACCTGCAGAATTTGTTTGCACTTAGAAGAGTCACAGGGGACTCGCGCGTCTCGTCTAATAAGACGGTAAGCTCGTTCCCCTTGGCGTCAAGTACCACGAACTGGTTGTCCGCCCACGTGGTCCTTAGGCAATGAGCCTTTAGCCATCCCAGACCAATGATCGCGTCGAAAGGACACTTGTCCATAACGTAAAAATTCAGCTCATGTGTGACAGTGCGATCTTTGTCAAAGGTGATGCGCACACCTTTGACAGCACGAGTGGAAGTGACAACCTCTTGGTTGCCCATCTGAGTCCGGCAAGGGTTCTGCAGTTCCACTTGCTTCATACCCAGGCCCGCCTTACGAATCCCATTCGGAGAGAAGAAATTAGTGGTGGAGTCACTGTCAATCAACACACGGATGTATCGGCGGTTAATGAGTAGTTTAAAGAAAGTCAGCTCCACGCTCCCTTGAACACGGCATTGCTGCGTGAGCTACAGCCAATGCTCCATGTGGGCGTGGAGGTCAACTTCTTTAGATTCCTCCCAAGGCTTAGTGTATAACACTTGGACTGCACCAGCCTCGGAATCAGCGTTAGTTCGGGCTTCAAGAGCAAGCTGCTGATCAGATCCAGGCTCCTGTGAAGGGCCTGCAACTGACTGCCCAGCTTCCCTTGCTGTAGGGAGTGCTGATAACTCCTCTACGCCCCTTGCCTGTTTCCCTGAAGACGATAGCAATCCTGCACAGCATGCCCATGCTTTGAATAATGCAAGCATACGCGCAGTTTGGACCTTCTTTCCTATTCTTTTGGCTGATGCGGAGGGCTTCCCAAGGCTTGGTAGAAGCGTCCTCTGGTTTCTCAGGGATCTTAGCATTCTTGGGAAGGTGTAAGACAGTTCCCTTACCTGAACCACGGTTAGGCCCCTTGTTTGAAGCGGTCTTTCTGAATGCATTAAGTTTCTCATCATCATTTCGGTCACACTCAATGGCTGATGTGGAACAACCCGTGTCGGAGTCCGGCTCTAGATCGTCATGTAGAGACAGATCATCCGCATAGGACTGATCGTCAGCCTCCCCATGATCATGCAGTGCAAGCTGGGTGCTGCTTCCAAACCGCTTGTGTTGTGGTTTCCCACCTGCAGCGGGCGCCTTCTTGTGCCTGGCGAGGTCCTTCGCCTCTAGGTCGACTAGGTCCTTCATGAGCTCTCGCCAGGTAGCATGGTCCTTGAGTGCTAGCAGGGAGAGGTATTCTTTAGGGGCCACTCCCATGACTACATCCATACAAGATACGTCAGTCATCCCCAGATCCGGAGTGGTGAACAGACTAGTCAAGTGTTGTTCCAAAGCCTGCATGGATGACCTCCATGTTTGGCCCTTAAGGGCCTCAAGCTTCAGCCTAGCCTTGAGCGCAGCATGTTTATCCTGGTACCGGTCAAGGAAAAGATTCTCAAGAACGCGGACAGGGGTGACCTTCAACCAATTAGTCAGGTCTATGCGTGCATAGCCTACAGCAACAGCTTGGAGCTCAATGTGGTTGCGTACGGCGGGCTCGGTATTAGTCCCCATGATCATGCTTCGGTCCTCTTGCGGTGTCCGCATGACCTCGAAGTATGACCTCATGGAACTAATCCAAGAGGTGATGTTAGCCTTCCCGTCGTACTTGGACGGCAGCGTAGCCACCCGCTTGTCCACCATGGGACCGTTGTACTGAACGCCAGTAAGAACTGTGGCGTTTTGGGCTGAAGTCCCTGCATTTGGGATTGTGACCAGTGCAGAACTGCCAGTGCTGCCGCTCGAGGAGCTGGCACCGGTTCCTGCACTTGCCATAGTTCTGTTGACCCTTGGAACGAGGGTTGTGCTGGACTGAGAGACTGGGATTACAGCAGATCGAGAGTTGGGAGGGCGGGGGGCAGACAGTAGGGACTGTTCAAGGCTATTTACTTTAGCCTGCAACTCTTGGTTCCGCTGCTCAAGTGCTGTCACACGGGACTCGAGATCTTCCAAGTCCCGCAGCCGGACCAAGGCTGCGACGGCAGCAGCTAGCCTCTCCTGGAACCGGTCAGCATTGACTTCCGGAACCTGTAGGAGGGCCTCCTGCGCAGCTATACTCGTAGCTCTAGCTGCTGCCTCCGCCTCCCTTTCCCTCTATACGGCATCATCATACAGTTTTTGAAAGAACGGTTTCTAACTCTCGTCTACTGCGTCCAGCATGGCCTGCCGTTGGTCAGATGTGATGACCGCCATGCTGGAGGAAGGAATGTCAGTAGAGCTCTCAAGAGGGGTCCGCTCTCTCCTTATGTTTGGACGAACACTCCTCTTGCCCCTTCTCACCCTCTCAAACAACACACCTTCTCTCTCCCTTTCTTCTCTTTTCGCTGTCTGCGCACGCGTCTCAATACTGGACATAGATAGTTCAGATAAAAGAAACAAACRGAAAACCACTCAGAGAAGAAGGTAGAACTCCTAGCCGGAGCGGCGAATCATTTGGACTTAGAGCGTGGCACGCAGCAGAAGAATAAATAAATAAAAATAAAACAGCAGAGAGGTCTGATTCATAGAACGGGCCCGATCAGATCAGCTGGAGATCCCCTCTTGTCTAACCTGACAGGGGACATGCAACACAATAAATCAGACGAAGAAGACTAATCTGCAGCAATGGAGATTTCAAGGGGTGCAGATGGTCGCCGAGTTAGACGCGGGGCAGTATGCGATCACACGCGGTAAGACCAGTCAAGATCCCCTTGAAAGGAAAGCCCTTGCTGTCCGTGTGTCCCCCCAGATTCAGCACAACAAAGTAATGCACTGACGGCAGCAGATCTGGGCCCGAAGGTCCTGTCCCGTTGGGCCTGGTCCCATTGGGTCCCAAGTGGTCCCGAGTAGGCCGTGGACCAGGTCTAACGGGACAGGGGTACCAAGTCAGACCCAAACTGTCTCTACCGTACTGAAAAGGAAAAGACAACTTACAGCAAGAACTTACCCCTACTACCGTTCAGAARTGAAAAGACAATGCACTGTAGAAAGATAAGTCATTTAGAACAAGATACATCATCCATTCATCCATCAGGTGAGAAAGCAATCCACATGCTCAACACACACAACCAAAACTGCAGAGAAGGGGAAGAGAACCCAACACACCCCCGACAGGTCATGCAGCACCAAGCAACCTCCCACGGGCTTACCCAGGTCACACGGCACTTACCTGTGAGGCCCGGCCTCCAAAGATGGATAACGAGTCACTCCCCTTTCATATAAGTCCTCCTGACCCCTAGCTACCACTACAGGAAGTGTCCTAGCATGACTAAGAGGGCCTTTCTACACCCCTGTTGCAAAGCCGGATCCCCCGTCGATGCCTGAAGACCAAAGTAGCAACTTGCAGCAATCCGATGCAGATATGGCAGCCTCCAATCAAGTCTCCCTCTTGAGGGGAAGCCCAAAAGTCACTCAATGTCTTCCTGAAGTCCAGATTCCAGGTGCAAGTACCTCTCACTCTCTACTCCCTCTCGCTTACCCCAAACAGCCTCCTTTGTGTCTCGCCACCCCATACATTCACTCAAGCAACCTGGTTGGGTCCAATGTCGACCGTACATGACCTAACCAGGTGGGGGCAGCATCCCCATACCTCGCTGCCCCACTTAACCCTAACTTGCAACCCTAATCCGAGATTAGGTTAGCCCTAACCTAATTCGGAATTAGGGTTAGGGTGACTAACACCTCTCGCCAGCAAGTAAGTCCGCTCCGAAACCAATTGTTACGATCCTGGTCATTTTCCAAGAGCAAATTCACATTGAAAGACAATGCCACCCAATTGCGAAAGAAAGGAAAGCACTTGCAAAGAGATAAAGACCAGAGGAGAGAGAAAGAAGAAGAGGAAGAAGAAGAAGAAGAAGAAGAAGAAGAAGAAGAAGAAGAAGAAGAAGAAGAAGAAGAAGAAGAAGAAGAAGTACACCAGCAAGACCAATGACAATTTCCCCCTTCTCTCTCCACCTTCCTCCTWCCTCCTTCTCTTCACCAATCTTATTCTTCTCTCAATAATAATAATGACAATGAATGGATGAACCAGAATCAATGTCCGAAGTTCCCCCCTTACTGCTGACTCAACTCACAACAACAACAACAACAACAAGTCCACCATGGCTATGTCTTCCCTCCTTCAACCTCTTCTCTCAAGCATAGGCCATGGCGGACTACTGGAAGGCAGCTATGATGCTTCCCTGATGCCCGAAAGACAACTAAGAGCAGCTATGTTGCTGCTTGACTTGGTCCGCTATGCCTGACTCAGACCTCGAGCTGCCCTGGTGCAGCGTTACCCCAACTGGGGCCTTCCAGATGCAGTGCCCAACAAGGCAATGAAGACGGTGTCCACCATAGCCAGGTAAGTGCCCTACCACTCTCCTACCATGTCCACCTTCTTCCTCCTTCAAGCTGGGGTGCTCGCCATAGCCAGGCCGAGCCCCAGCGGACCTTCACCTCCAAGCAGCGCTGCCTCAGACCAGCGCTGCGCTCCAGCAGCATGTCGC